AAAAAACCAAATTTCTCGTTTGTTACTTGCAGCATAGGAATGCAAATAGGCATGTTTATGACACCCATTTCTCCATCTGATATGATTTTATTTTTGATGGTGTGTTGTTGTTAATCGTACATCAATTTAGGAATCAACAATGGAGATTCTCGGTGCCATTGCTGGCGAAATAGCAAAGTTATACACTGAAACCCATTGTACGACAAGTGGGGATATTTGTTTTTTTACAAAGACAATTTTAAGGAGCTAAAGAATCAAGTCGAGAAAGCTGGGGACGGCAAAAGAGCGAATTGTGCATGAGGTTGAAGCAGAGAGAAGAAATGGAAGAGAGATTGAACTGATGTGGAGGAGTGCTGAATAAAGCTAATGAACTTTAGAGAAAGCCAAGCGATTGTGTGAAGATCCTCGCTGTGTGAAGGCAGAGTGTTCTGGATGGTGTCTTCCTAATTTGATTTCACGCCATCAACTAAGTCGAAATGCAAAGAAAACGGTAGAAAATGTTGCTGAAGTGCTGACACATGGGAAGTTCGATCGAATTGGGCACCTCCCTCGTCTACCCACCATCACAACAAGAGATAATGTAAAGCTCGGGTCAAGGAACTTAATGAAGGAGCGCATTTTTCGGTTCTAAAAGACCTTAAAGTAAGTAGAATAGGGGTCTATGGATTAAGGGGGTGGGGAAGACCACTCTAGCAAGTGAAATTGTTGCACAAGTTAAGGATGACAAGTTATTTGATGAAGTGGTTATGGTGACTGTATCACAACCTGTAGATATTGAGGGAATTCTTGATCAGATGGCAGATCAGTTAGGCCTGCGCTTTGAAGAGAAGTCCCCCATTGGAAAGGCAAGCCGCTTACGTGCGAGAATCAAACAGGACAACGCTATCCTCATCATATTGGACGACATCTATGAAGAACTTGATTTGGCTAAATTGGGATTCCATCACTAGATAATCATAAGCTGGGAATTTCTACACAGGATAGTTATAAGGGCTGCCAATTGTTGCTCACTTCTAGAAACGAAAAATTTTACAAAAGATGCAACTCAAGAGAATTTCAGACTCGAAGAATTAAATAATGAAGAATCTCTTGAATTATTTCAAATGACGAATGATGTGGGTGTCGAGTTGCGAGATATTGCAACGGAAGTGGTAAAAAGTTGTGCGGGCTTGCCTGTGTTGATAGTCGCAATGGCAAAGTTATTAAAAAAATAAAGAAATTCATCAGTGGAAAAATGCCTTGGATGAACTGAAAAGAGTTAACAGTGGAATAGTGGGTGAGAAAATTTTTCCACCTTGAAATACATGTACGATTGTTTACAAGATGATGGGGCGAAGCAAGTATTCTTGCTTTGTGGAGTGTATGGAACGTCCATTCTTGTTGGTGACTTGTTGAAATACGTCATTGGTTTGGATGTATTCAAATATATAAAAACATTGATGGTGTAAGAAACAAGCTTCAAACAGTGATTGATGACTTGAAGGCATCCTGCTTTTTGCTTCACAGTGATGCAATTGCACGAGTGATCAAAATGCACGACCTTCTTAGAGAAGTAGCAATATCAATTGCATCTGGGGATCAACATGTCTTCACAATGAATGTTCCATTTCAAGATTGGCCAGGAGAGGATTTTTTTAAAGGTGTACCTGGATAAACTTGTATCGTTGTTGCATCCAAACACTTCCTGAAAAGTTAGATTGCCCCAGTTTGAAATTTCTTCACTTAAATAGCAAAGATAATCCTTCATTGGAAATTCCAAACTCCTTTTTTGGGGGAATGAGAAACTTGAGGTGTTGGATTTAACAGGAATGATGATATCATCGTTACCGACATCTCTTGCCACATTGACTGAACTTAAAACATTGTGCTTGGATCAGTGCTCTTTGAAATTATGGCTGGAATTGAGCCTTGAAAAATTTAGAAATTCTCAGCTTCATCCGTTCATCTATGGAAGAGTTTCCAAGTGAAATAGGGCAGTTGACTCACCTAAGAATGTTGGATTTGAGTGGTTCTGGAATTGAGGTTATCCCACCCAATGTTGTGTCCAAGTTGACCACACTTGAGGAATTGTACATGGGCAATGCCTCGGTAAAATGGGAGGCAAAAAGTCCGACAAAGCAAAACAAAAATGCTAGTCTTGCTGAGCTCACGCATTTGACGGGCATGAGTACTCTAGAAATTCAAGCTGAGACTTGGATTTTACTGAGGGACATTGTATTTGAGAAGTTAGAGAGATATAAGATTGTTATTGGAGATAAATGGGATTGGCGAAATGATAATAATACCTTGAGGTTGTTTAAGCTAAAGCTTCACACTTGCTATCAATCAGAACATGGCATTAAAACGTTTGATGGAAAGTGTGGAAGATTTATATTTAGAGGAAGTAAATGGCATTTCAAATGTGCTTCTCCAATTGAATGGCAAAGGATTTCCACAGCTAAAGCATTTGCACATCCAAAATAATGGAGAATTCAGTGCATTATCAACTCAACAGGAAGGAATCAAACAAAATATAATCTTGTTCCAAAATTGGAGACATTAATACTTCATAATCTCTCCATGATGAAGGAGATATGTGATGGGCCACTGAGAGTTGATTCTTTTAGAAAGCTAAGAGTCATGAAGCTCAAAAGTTGCGAGCAGCTAAAATATGTCTTCTTGAATTCAATGGTTAAAAACTTTTCTCAACTTGTTGAAATTGAAGTCTCTGAATGCCATTCTATGGAGAACATAGTGTCTTTGGAAAGTATTAATAGTGGCATGATCATCAATAAAGCTGAGTTTATTCAATTGCGACATTGGCTTTACAATATTTACTGCAATGGTTAGTTTTTGCTGCTCTGATATTCCAACGTCATTCTTCGATGCAAAGGTATGCTCATTTTGTTGCATTTTAATATGTTGTTGCATTTGTTATATGGAAATTTGAGCAGCAGTTATAAATTATAGATCATATAATAGAAATTGTTTATATGTTTAAAATTTGCTGTATGTATTACTATCAAGACGAGTATATATACTTGTTTGTTATCTATATGTATATATATATAGGATATATATCAAAGCATGTATCCTATGTGTGTGTGTGTTGTGTCTAGTAATTCACTATATAAAAATATATATGAATAAGATTATTTAGTTTTACGAAAAATGTATTTGGTTATAATATTATTACAATAGTTGACTTAATTTATAAAATGGACTGAAGAACAATGAATTTGATGGCGACACTATTTTCGACTGAGAGTAGTAGACACTGTGTCCTTTTATTGGGTCTCCCAAATTGAGAACTTAAATTGTACTCTGTTTCATTAAAATATAATACGTCTAAAAGTGGTGGTTTTTTGCATATATCGGATTAAGATTTAGAGTAACAATTTTTTTTATTTTTGTAGGTTTCATTGTCAAATTTGGAGACCCTGAAATTAAGCTCGATTAATTTGGAGAAAATTTGGGATGATCATCAACATTCAACAGCCACTTCTTTCCGAAATCTAGTTAATTTAATCGTGAAGGACTGTGGCAGCCTGAAATATTTATTCTCACCTTTTATGGTTGAAAATCTAGAAAATCTCAAACGGCTTGAAATAAGTAAATGCCACGCGATGGAGGAGATAATGGCCATAGAAGTAAGTAACAATGAGATTACACTGGCTCAAGATCAGGTAGTATGATTTTGTTCTTGAGTTATTTTGAAGTTGCCAACATTTGCATTTATTTTCATTGTAGTTTTAATGAATATAAAAGTCTTAAATACCTCCCAATCTTATAACTTGGAATATTTCTTGAATTATAATATCCAAAATCAATCACACAAGCACATTCAAGTAACTATATAACATTAATATTAATGGTTTTTTTAATTAGTTGAGGGATTGGTATTGGTTTATTGTACAATGTTCATGATTTGTTGTGCGTCAAATAGGCTGGGTTTCCCAAATTGGAGGAGATCATAATAAATGACATGAAGAACTTGAAGAGAGCATGGCACTACCAATTTGGCAGATCGAAGACAATGGAAGTGAACAAATGTGAGAAACTGGAGACTGTTTTTCCATCGGGCTCCATGCTTGAAGCACTAAGAAGTCTTGAGACGTTGAGGGTCAAAGATTGTGCTTCAGTTGAAGAGATATTCGAACTCACCACTGCTGATGGAATGCATGCTCAAGAAGTGACAGCACAGCTGAAAAATCTAGAAATAAGTGGACTGCCAGAGATGAAACGGATATGGAGCAAGGATCCCCAAGGACTTGTTCGCTTTTCCAATCTAGAACTCGTGGATATTGCGGGCTGTTACAAGCTGGAATATATCTTCCCCTTCTCCATTGCTAAGGATCTTCCACCAACTTCAACATCTCAGACTAGTTTTGTGTAAGATCAAGGAAGTTGTTTCGAAGAAGGATGGATCATTGGATGAAACTACCATATTTGAGCTTACTCATCTCACCTCCCTGGTCCTAGGATATTTGCCTAAACTCAAGGGATTCTATGCAGGGGTTCATACATTAGAATGTCAATCCTTGGTAAGGTTGCAAGTGTTGGATTGTCCACATTTAAAGGTATTCAATCCGCGTGCAAATAGATGCCGGCAAAGTTTTGCTGATGACCGATTTCACTTCTCAATGCAACAATATCTATTTACAGTTAATGAAGAGGTATGGTTGATATAAGCTTTTAAACTTACCCATAAAATCGTTACACAAGTCATATTTAGCTTATATCTGCCTAATAGTTAGCCACTCGCTTTTGTGTGTACAGCATTGCAATATTTTTTGTTTATTTATATCGCATCTTGTCTGATAAAAATCTTCAAATTACATTGTCGTTACATTTTGTAACTATAAATAGCAAATTTATATCGTGTTATACGTGAACTCCAATTATTCTCTTTTTACTAAGTCATGATCCAAAACAATGACTCTGACTTCTAACGATGAAATTGTGCATTGTGCAATCATGAGGTAGGTGACTGGCAACTTGGATTCTTTGTACCTGCAATATTGGGATGCTAACGTCATATTGCATCACCAAGTTCCCTCGTACCTACCGCAAACTCAAACATCTTTGGATATTTGCTTTTCAAGATGATCAAGCAAGTGCTCTGCTTCGGTTTCTCAAAAATGTACCTAGTCTCGAAAGGCTAAATGTTTCATTTAGCTCCACAAAGGAGATATTTTATGATGAATTGCTAACACATGAGGAAGAACGGAACAAAATTAACACCCGGCTTAAAGCATTGCGGCTACAGCGTTCACCGAAGCTTCAGAATTTATGTAGAGAAGGAAGTCAAATTCACCCTGTTCTTGAGGTTCTTGAAGTCTTAATGGTGGAAGAATGTTCCAGTTTAAGAAATTTAGTCCCTTCCTCTGCAACTTTCTACCACTTGACATATCTGGTGGTAATACAGTGCAACAGTTTGAAAAGCCTAATGACCTCATCAACGGCGGGAAGTCTTTTCAACTTGCAAAGGATGAAAATAGAAGAGTGTGATTCGCTGGAAGAAATTGTGACAGAAGAGGTGGATGGGGCAAAAAATGAAATTGCATTTAATAGTTTGTTAAGTTTAGAGCTAAATTATTTGCCAAGGCTCCGTGGTTTTTCATCAAGCAAGTGCCCCTTCAAGTTCCCATGGTTGGAGAGATTTGTTGTTAGCCAATGTCCTCAGATGCAAATTTTCTCAGACAAAGCAATAAGTGCACCAAAGCTTAGGACAACACTAGCGGAGGGAGAATCTTACTGGGAAGGAGACTTAAATGAAACGATTAGGAAGATGTTTCTGAACAAGGTCTGTATGATTTATCCAGACAAATTTTGAAAGATTCTGAGTGAATTGAAATAAATTGTTTAAAGCGTTCAAGTGTGATCTTATTATAACTGACACTATAAATTTTTTTTTTTAACAGGTGGCATTTTGTAGCTTCAAGCATTTAGAGCTTTCGAAATATCCGGAGTTAAGAGGATTGTGGTATGGCCAGGTTGGTCATGAAATATTTTCTAATTTGAAATCTTTGGTGGTGCGAAATTGCCAGTGGCTTTCGAGTATTCTTCTTTCTGGAAGCATGCTAGAAGCTTTGTTCAACTTGGAAGAGCTTGAAGTGACTGAGTGTGATACACTTGAAGCTGTGTTTGATTTGGGCGATATGAATGGAAGAGGAAGGATGGCGAGAGAAACTATTCAGCTGAAAAAAATGAGACTTGATAGTCTGCCAAAACTGAAGCGCATGTGGAAACATGATTCCTGTGAAATTGCTAGTCTGGGTAATTCAAGCGATGTTTGTGCCGGTGAATGCCAATCATCAAATGGAGAAGAAAGGGTATGCTCCATAATCTTAATTAGGGCGATAACCTGCGCTAAATTCAACGGGATAAAATAATGATAATTTTTCAACATCAAACCAAGCCTGATTTATTTTTTTTAAAAAAATATATAATACATATTAAATATTATTTTAAATTGTAGTTTATTATTTGAGTAATTATAAATATATATTTTTTAAAATTTTTAAAATTTCATATTATTATATTTTCATCATTTTTAATCTCTCAAATATTTTAAAATGATATTAGAAATATTTTTAAAACTTTAAGACTTAGAAAAAATTTCAGTCCTCTATTTTTTAACTGTCCCGAGAAAAGTATAATGCATATTTCTTACAATAGTAGTAGTAATAGTAATTAATTTTTAGATTAAAATTTAAATTTGCTTAAAAATTGTTGACTATTTGAGCATTTAAGTTGGTTTGAATAAACTCCAAAGCTAGAATTGTTAGGGCCAAACATGATTATATAAGATTTTTTTATAAGTTTAGGCTCATTCAAGTAAGCCTGAATTGAGCTCCACATGCTTGAATGACTAACAATAATTTTAATATGTTTGAGTGTTCACATTCATTTGGCTTAAAAATGTTTTATGGTAATGTTGAGATAAAGAAAATTGCATTTATGGCTTGTGTAAATTTTGTTTAACTTAATTACATCTTTTATTTTTGAAATTTATACATATAAACTTCCTGTGAAATCAAAAGCCATATAACACATGCCTCTCCTCCATGTTTAAAATTCCATCATTCAATAGTTAACTGTCCCTCTTTAAGATAAATATTATCTAAAAATCTTCTAGCTCCCAAAAAAATTTATCAGGGAAAAAATAATTTTAAAGCGTATATTTTTAGACTTTTTTTTATCATATTTTAATTTTTTTCAGTTAAATAAACTTACTGGTCCAATAAATTCTAAACGTTTAATTACATACGGAAAAATTAAAAAAAAAAAGTAAATTTGATATGTTATTGAATAAATTTTAATATAATTCGTTCTTATTTTGCTGTAAATTTTATTAACATTAATTATTTTTATTAATTTTAATATTTTGTCGGAAAGTATTTTAAATATAACCATACTTAATTTTACGAAATTCTTTAATTTGGGTAAAAAGAGTAGACACTAGACAAGTAGATTTCGAAGGAAAATTAATAATTTTAAACATAATTTCAATTAATATAATTAAGTATCCTTTAGAACTTTTAATAGAATATTTTTACCCATTTTTGAAATTGGACTAAAATATCGGTTTTAAAATGGAGAGAGTGTATCTAAAATTTCAACAAAACTAAGAAAGTCATTATATTTTTCTTTTAAATTATTTTCCCACTAAAAGAAAAATTTGTGGAGTTTCCAGAGTCCAACTGTATACAAGAAAATAGAGATTATCATCTTGAAAGGCTCCAAAACCATCTCATTTGGAACGTGAAAGGTTGAAAGTCATGGATTCAAAGCTTACGAATCTACACTCTCCAAAGACGCTTAATTATATTTTAATTGTCATGATAAGGCTTTTTGTGAAGTACTTCTGACTAATTTAGATGGGCATAAAAATAGAGAGGAGGGAAACAAGAGCCAAAACTTCTAAAAAAGGTAAAATATAGGTTTTAAAATGAAAATTTGTCCTCATATTTTTCTCTCCTCATTTTCTTCCCTGTTTTGAAGCTCATAATTATTTTAGGCAGATCCGCCGTCAGTCTTGAACGTTGAAAGGCATATCAAATTATTACGAATTTATTGTTGTTTTTAATTAAAATAGAAATAGTTTCTCGTAAAATATGCTTCTAACGAAGACTTGTACCAAACTGATACATTCTAGATAATATAGCACAGAGAACGTATAAAATATAACTCATGCTCTGCATTTGTTTAAACAGGTCGATTTCAAAAGTTCGGATCATTTGAAGCTCATTGCATCGAATTTGTTGACATTGCTATATTCATTGGAGGAACTAGAAGTGAACGATTGTGATTCCTTAGAAACAGTGTTTGATGTGAAGGTCATGGACGACACAGAAATGCATGTAAAGGAAGAAAGTCAATTGAAAAAGCTTACTCTCTTGGGACTGCCAAATCTGAAACATATATGGAATAGAGACCTTCCAAAAATACTCAGTTTCAAAAATTTGCAGATATTGACAATTGCAGGATGCCTGAACCTGAAACACGTGTTTTCGGTAACATTATGCCAAGATCTGCAGCGACTTCAAGAGCTTTCCATGCTTCATTGTGGCATTGAGGAAATTGTTGCAATTGAAGGAGAAGGACTAGATGATCTTGAGTTTGATTTTCCAAAGCTGACTTCCTTCATGCTATGTTGGTTGTCACGATTGAAGAATTTTTATCCAAGAAGACATAAGTTAGCATGTCCTTCATTGGAGACATTAGATGTCTGTGGTTGTGAAGAATTGGAAATATTTGACTTTAGCCATTTGGATTCCCAGCATACATCTACGGTGGACGAAATTGACATGCCGATTCAACAACCACTCTTTTCTTTTAAAGTGGTATATGCATGCCCTTTTTCTATTTATTTTTTCCTTCTTGGTTATTCTTTAAACGAATTTTTGAGTTAAACTAAGATAAATATAAATATTATGACTCTCACAAATCTATTAAATTATTGCATGATTTGAGAATTTATAAACTGTTATATTTGTTTTTGTTTATTAGGTGTCACCGACTTTAAAAGATTTTGCATTAAATGGAAAAGATTCTATGAAGATACTGGATAGTCATCATGAGGCAAGTCTCTTTCCTGGTGTAGAGGTGCTTCGACTACAATGCTTTCAAGAAACTCCAATAATGTGGCTAAATAGGTTCCTTGAAAAATTCCCTAACATTACAACACTTGAAGTGCGTTGTAGCACTTTTAAAATACTTTTTCCTTCCGAGGAAGTTGGTTATGGTAGTTCTAAAACTCCCAACCGGTTAAAAAAGTTGTGGCTTTTTCAGTTGGAGCAGCTTGAGCAGATAGGGAATGATTACGACTCTCTGTCAGATGTCCTTGAAGTACTCAGTGTGACGTGTTGTCCGAGTTTAACAAGCTTGGGACCACCTTCAATATCTTTCACTAGTTTAACCCACTTAAAAGTGGAGGACTGCAAAGGGATGACCTTTTTAATGACAGCTTCCACCGCTAGAAGTCTTGTGCACCTCAAAAAGTGGCGGATAATAAACTGTGGGATGATGGAGGAAGCTGTGATGATCGATGAAGGAACACCAGAAGAGATCACATTTGAAAGCTTAGAATATTTTGAAATGACTTCTTTACCCTCTCTCAAAAGCTTCTGCTCTGGCAAACCCACACTTGTATTCCCATCATTTGAATTATTAAAAGTGAGAGGATGCCCCAAAATGCAGAATTTCTCATCGGGAGACATTATAGCCCCTGCGATTCAAATAGAAATAGAAAATGGAACAATGAATTGGACAGAAGACCTTAATACTACTATCAAACAGCTGGTCACGGGACAGGTGCGTTAAACCTAAATTATTGTTGTGCCCTATAATTTAAAGCCAATACAAAAATTTGGCTGACACTCTTTTTAATATTCATGTTCCTCGTGTTTCTTTCTGTTCATGTAGAGAAGCGACTAGACAAATACAACACAACAATATTCTTTTTACTAGTGGGGGAGGCAGGGGGAACGGGGGGCCACAGCCCTTCCTATCTTTTTAGAATTTTTTTTAGTAAAATATAGGAATTATATATATTTGACCCCATCAAAATATATTTTGTATGTATAATATATTTAATACTAAACATAATATTTACTTTCCATTTAATAAATATAAAAATATTACACTAATATATTGTACAAAGTCAAAAAATGTTAGCATTTAAAATGTATGTATTATATATAAATATAATATAAAATATACCATTAGAAAATAAGAAAGTTGCCAATTTTAATTTAGGGTATATAAATGTAATATATACTTGTCTTGTTTGTGCAGTTTTACCTCTGAGCTTTGAAGAGTTGCTGCCACGGTTCACAGCTTCAAGGCAATTAGGTATGCGTATGCCTTTTGTCTTTTTTTTTTTTTTTTTTGGTTTACGTCCTATTCTTTTTTCTTTTTAATTTTTTCTCCTCTACTGTTCACGGCTTCAAGGCAATTAGGTATGTGTTTGTTGTGTGCAGTTTGCCTTATTTCATGTTGTTTTTGTTTGCTTCCTTTTTTTTTTTCCCTCCTTTTTGTTGAATCAAAGAACTTGGCTTGGCTAACCCTACAATCTCATTTTCTTAGGCCCTCCAATTAAGCGAATACAAGGATAAAGTTGAGGTGAGCCACTCCAATCTCCAATATGCTTTGCTTTTTCAATGTTTATGATTTTATTGTGCAGTTTGTGTTATGATTTACAATTCCTTTTATATATAATATATTGTGCAATTTGTGTTATGATCTTTTTTTTTTTTCATTCATCTTAATATTTTATATAATATAATTTACAATCTATATTTTTTTTAGGATTGAAAGATGTCTAGGAAAAAAAACTATTGATTCATTTTTTAGAGAAAAGAGATAGTTGTTAAAATATTTATGTTATGTTAGATTTTTCTTCTCTTAAAGTTATAGTATATGCTTTGAGATCTCGGCCCTCATTACTTAAAAATCCTGACTCTGCCCTTGCTTTTTACCTTGTTCTAACCAGAAAAAGATAATAAATATGAAAGTGGATTATGTAAGAGCATTTATGTAACAATAGATATTTCTCCTATTGAATTAGGCAGGCAAGACATAGAAGGAAATGTAGTCCGCTTGGGATGAAATAGAGTGCTGCCTGGCTCTTTCTTATTTTAATGGCCACTTGGATTCTCATGTTTGATATTTCGATGGTGGTTAATTTCTTTTAACAAAACCAGGAGTCAACATAGCTTCAACAATAATCGTTGTTTTCTCTGAAACATCTCTACTTTTAATTTGAAGCTTTAGAAATAAGGGTGAACTTGAAAAATCTTAATTTGATCAAAGTCAAATGATGGATTTGCCATATCTATTCATATAATTTTTGTTGTTTGCATTTTTGTTTCGGTTTGGACTTTAATTTCGTCAGTCACTTGTCCAGTTGTAAAATGAGACAGTGAATTGATGTTACTATAATCTCCCTTGTCTGCAGGAAGTTTCAGATTTTGATGACAGCAAATAGTCAAAGCGATGAAGTATCTGCAACATATGAAGATGATCCATTTTATTCTCTTTTCTTATGCTTGTGTATTTGTCATTTATGTTTGAGATTTTCTTTCAGTGAAAAAGGAAAAGGGAAAGAAAAATTGGTGGTCTATAGTAAATTACAGCTTGCTCCTTTAACAATACTGGATTGATGAATTTTTCAATTTACATTATGAAGAGTAAAATGTACTATTGTACCCGGACAAATTTTTCAACTTTTGAAGGCATGTATGCAGAATCGAGTTGATCATCTTCATCAATATTGGATATGTTGCAATATGCAGCTATTCTATACATTTAAACTGTGATTCACTTTTAGGTCGATTTGCTACAAAATAGTAATAGAAAAAAGGATTGAGAATGCCGAAACTTGAAACAGACTTCTCTGTAACACAGGAGCACATTTTTCTTGCGCACTCTCTTAAATCACTGTTGAACGGACAGAATCACATGAGTTTTTGTCGTTTTTTTCTCCTTTTCATTCGGCTATATGATTTAGATTTGGATATTGTTGGGTAGGTAATGCTAGTTGATTTTTTTTTAAATATATTTTGGTAAGTAAAATTGCAGAATCTGAATTTGGATGGTTGGGTATGAACAGAATCATGAAAATTGGCCTATGGGAAGAAAGAGACGGGGGCATGATATAAAACCAAATTTTTGGTGGTGGTTGCCTACTAAACACATAAAACATGTTGGTGGACAAAAATAAATATAGCGATTGATTTTACTAATTATTACTTATAAACAACTCATTAACGTGTTTATCGCCGCTAATCCCTCACAGCCTCATGTACTATATATATAAATTTTATATTAAGCTACGTTATGGACTGGTTCGTCAGTTTAACTATTTGCATAACTTACAAATAATATAATTTTTAGTAGATTGTATATCATATACTAAGAACCATATACAGTTTTCATAGTTTTATGAATAATATTATTTTTAAATATGGAACCGTCCTAGTTTCTACTGGTATTAATTTTTAATTAATTATATAAAAGGCAAAAGAGAGACAAAGAGGAGATTCCGAAATTGTTTGATGAGGAAGGGTCAATTGGCGAAGCCTTCCGTGATCCTTCTAAAAGCATTTCCCTTCAAATGTTCACACTTCCACCACTATCTTACTAAATTATTCTTGGTAGTTATCGAAGACCTATCATCATCAAAATGGAAAAACAGAAAGAATAAATAGTACTACCTCCATACCGTAATATAAAATATTTTTTAAAAGCCTTACTTAATTCCAAATATAAGTATTAGATAACTTTTATATTTATTTTTTTAACTATACTTTTACTTTATTTATTACTCTTTTTGAAAAAAATTATACATTAGAATTTTAATTACTATGATCAAAGCTCTTATTTAGAGTATTTAATGAAGGTATAAAGAAAAAGATGTAGATATTTTTAAAAATTTATGGTTTTAACAGACATTATTCATAAATTATAAATTAATTAATTATAACTTATATTGTAATCTAGAGGAGTAACTAATTAAGCTTCTCGCCTACCCTCGTGTGACGGACTTCAAATTAAAATTTTCAAATATATATATATATTTTATGATTCATTCTCCAAATCTATGTCTACAAAATAAATTTATATGTTTCAGAGATGTTTGACAAATATATTAAATTACGTGCTTTATTCTCTTGTGGCATGATATTTGAATTTTTAAATTTAATTGATTTTGTTAGTAATAGAATTTTTTTTGGTCAACCACGGTCTTCATGTGTATTTCGATAAAAAAATTTTCACATTTGCAAAGTACTTTTAAAAAATTTTAAAAGTAAAAGTTGTTTGGTTTATAAAAAAGTTTTCAAAGTTCTTTCAAAATGTCCAATGAAAAAGTCACTAAAAGTCTATTTCCCCAAAGATACTTTTACTTAAATTTACATTTTAAGTTGGAGTTTGGGCATTAATGAAACAGTGACTAATTTTTATTTTACTATTATCCTTATAATTATTTGCCAAACATTATATTTTTCATAGATTGTTAAGCTTGTAATTTTTCATAAAGCACAAATTGCAGGGAGAGTGGGTAAGTCATACAGGAAGCGATCATCATCATTAAATAAAATTTTATTAATGTAAGAAAAATTTTAATTAGTCAAACAAACGAAAAAAGGAAAGTAATTTATGGAGTTGGGAATAATAAGCAAGGTTAATGAAAAAGCGTTATTTTTTTATCATTCATTATTTGACATATCAAATTTTATATTATTTAAATTTTAATTATATTTATTTTTCAAACATTTCAAATATGCTTCATGTGTGTAATAAAAATTATATATCATAAAATCAATATTCTTTTTATAATTATACATATAAATGTACTTCTCATTATATATTATTTAAATAATTTTTATTTTATTAAATTAAATTTTAAAAAAATATATTTAAATATAAATTTTATTATAATAATTAATTTTTATTAAATTAATTTTTATCAAATAAATTTTTGAAAAACTGACTTTTAGCAAACAAGAAACCAATCGAGCCTTGATATGGTTGTTAATCAAACGGTCCGCTTGAATGGGCTCTGTGGAAAACGTGGGGGCTTTTTCCACCAATATGTCAACGTCAACGTCAACGTCAACTTTTTTTAATTCAACAATCCCATCATTAATTAGTTGTTGGAGTCTTTATAAAAAAAAAAAAAAACTAGTGGCTTGGAGTTATTGCTACCCCCATATTTTATTGCACGAAAAACTGTTAAATGTTTTATTATTTTTTTAGGTAAAATTTTAAAATTTGATTCCTTTTTATTTTTGTGAGAGGTCATTTTCTAAAAATTTTTATCTTTAACTTATGAAAAGAAATTTTTATTTTAAGATCATTTTTGATCACGTCAGTTGGCTATTCAATTTCTCTGTTTATATGCTCCTTCTCTCGTAGTTATAGCGTCCATCGGCGTCGGCGAAGGCTCAGCAACTAACAACTGACGAAGGAAGAGCGAGGGGCAGAGAGGCACTGGAAGGTGTTGCAAGATGGAGAAAGCGATTCATAGACAGAAGATGCTGCTTGAACATCTTCGACCCGCTTCCTCAATTTCATCTTTTTCCCATCAATCTACTCATCTCTCTGTAAGTTCATCTTCTTCAAGTATCCGTCTCTTCACTCTTCCACTGTGCATGAATTCCTCAGATTCTACTCCTTTCTCGTTTTTTAATTTATTGAAAGACTTCTATTCCTTATGGCCTGTCTGCCTTTTTCGCTCTTTATTTTTTCACTTTTGTAGTTGCTACATGCTGGAATGAGTTTTCTTTTTTTTTGGCTTGTGTTGGTACTTGATGGTTCTCAAACTTCTACTCCTATTTCTTTCCCATACTAAATTTAATGATCTTTAAATGCTTATCTTGTATATACTAAAAGGTCGGAGATAAAATTTCTGATAATTATATTGGTAGTTTCTTTGTCTTGAATCTTTGGAATGTTTCTATCTTGTAGAGTTAGTCAATTCAAGCATTTGCAAATGCTTGGCTTTTTCATCGGCCGCAACTTTGCTTTTGCTCTTTCTTTTTAACGGGGTGGCTAATTTTTTTCTTTTTTTAGGCATCAATCTGTTCTGGTGAGAATTTTTCTCATGGGCGAACATCTGCATCTGAAGATGACGTGGTGATTGTGGCGTAAGTTGATTAATTCGGGACTGAGGATGCCAACTTACTGAGTATTTCTTGATTTGTTATTTTGTTAATCACAGTATTTAGCTTATTGTCTTTTATCATTTCCTGCAAAAACCAGTGCATACCGAACTGCAATCTGTAAAGCAAAGCGTGGGGCCTTCAAGGATACCCTTCCAGATGATCTCCTTGCCTCTGTTTTGAAGGTAAAAGTTATTTGATAAAGGAAAACATTGGAAATAAAATTGTTGGCAAAGAATTGGGTTTATGGGAACATTTGTAATCATTGTGACTAGTACAATTTACCTCAATCATGAGTTCTCATGTAGGCTGTGATAGAGAAAACAAATGTGCCCCCAAGTGAAGTAGGAGACATAGTTGTTGGCACAGTAATTGCACCAGGATCAGAACGAGCAATTGAGTGCAGGATGGCTGCCTTCTATGCTGGTTTCCCTGGTAACTTTGTTAATCAAGTTGAAATGACTATCCTCAAATGCATCATTTTCGAATAAGAATCCAGCTGTAAAAGCTGATTGAAAACGCGATTTATGTGAACTTCCTGCCCGGTTTTACTAGAAATTGAATTTGCAGGTTTATTTACTGATACTTGATGCTTAAAATTGCTATGCTATTTTATCCCCAACATCAATATATGGTTTATCACTTATATGATTAAAACAGATACAACGCCACTCAGGACTGTCAATAGGCAATGTTCATCTGGACTTCAGGCAGTTGCTGATGTTGCTGCTTACATAAAAGCTGGTTTTTATGACATAGGTAAGAATGAGAATGTCTGTTTGTTTAAAAGATCTTGGTGTTGACTCCACCTTCTTATTCATTGATTCAGGAATTGGAGCTGGATTAGAGTGTATGTCTCGAGATAATGTTACTAGGCCTAGTAAAATTAACCCAAAGGTGCATTTAAGATTTAATATTTTGAAGTCCATATTTTGTTTTTACAGCTATAAACATGGTTTGTTCAGCTTTACTTTTCATGTCCTTAACAGTTGGAAACTTTTGAACAAGCTCGGGATTGTCTTCTTCCTATGGGAATTACTTCTGAGAATGTTGCACTGCGTTTTGGCGTCACAAGGCAGGAGCAGGACCAGGCTGCTGTGAGTATGACAATTAAATATTCAAAGAACCGTTTAAGAGATTATCAAACTGAATGGACCTCTTTTGATTTGAATAAATAGGTTGAGTCTCACAAGCGTGCTGCAGCTGCAACAGCATCTGGTAAATTCAAAGAAGAAATCATTCCAGTTTCTACAAAGGTAAGTAGCAACAGCAAAGATGAACTTTCTAATTGTAAGATATAAGACATGAAAATGTTGATGAGGAGGCTTGCACTGAGGTTGAACTCTGACACACAATATGGTAGCTTCTCTGCTTTTTATTTGTAATGAAATCAAGGTAGAAATTTACTTCGATATAAACTTCTTATGATAATAATAATGGATAACTTAGAATCTTGGATAAGAATAAACTTCTGGACACTAAATAATGCTAAACTAAAACCATAGATAAGGATATATTCCTAATCCATTTGGGGTTCCACTTGAATAGGTTTCTTAACACTTTGATAAATTTCTGCAGTTTGTGGACCCAAAAACTGGGGAGGAGAAGAATATTATAGTTTCTGTTGATGATGGCATCCGGCCAAATACAAATTTGACAGATTTGGCAAAACTAAAGCCTGCATTCCAGAAGGATGGTTCCACAACTGCAGGTACTCAGGAAATCTGTTCTTGTTAATTTTATTACTTTGGCTAATTCTTTAGCTGTTTGCTCGTTTATGTTGTGTCTTACTTTATCTTCTAAATTCAGGGAATGCAAGCCAAGTAAGTGACGGTGCCGCAGCAGTTCTCCTCATGAAAAGAAGAGTGGCTGTGCAGAAGGGACTACCTATTCTTGGCATATTCAGGTACACTATAATTATTGGAAAAATCAATTCTTTAGAGGAACGTGGAACTAGACATAGCTCTGCATGTATACTGTAATATGTGACTAAGTGAGTTGTCCTTGCAATCCATGTTATCTCTTATATCTAATCCTTAGAAGGTAGTATTTTAAGGATTTAAAGTTAATGTTCCTCATTTTACCACTTAATTACAAATAGGCACGTGAAATCACTTATCTGGTAAGTATGAACTTAAGTATGGAAGAGGCATGTTGTGTTATTCCATCTATTCATAAATAGAATCAGGATTTCAGGTAAAACCTGCCTGATAAACTGTATAAGAATGTAGATTACTTTATTGGAGAGATTTTAAAGCTTTTGACCATCTGCTTCACGGTGTTCAAAATGGTGTAGGTCTAGCTACAATGAAAATTATTCATAACAAGCAATTCATCAATACTTTGAAATCTTGCCAAATACAGCCTAAATTGCAATGAGGCCTCAGAGGAGGAGCTCATCCCTAATATTCTGTATTACTGTATTATATTAAAATGAAATTGATGCACGGATGATGAATTCAAACTTTCTTTGCATTCTTGGCATCTCATTTTTTTTTTCTGTAGGAGTTTTGTTGCTGTTGGAGTAGATCCTGCCATCATGGGTGTTGGTCCGGCATTTGCTATTCCTCCTGCAGTGAAATCTGCTGGTCTTGATCTCAATGACATCAACTTATTTGAGATTAATGAGGTAAAATTTATGTCTCTATTTCTCTAGGCAAATAGAAAATTATAACCGGGCAATATGTTCTTAGCAATTTGATGGTCTTGTTTAGGCATTTGCTTCTCAGTACGTTTATTGCTGCAAGAAATTGGCACTGGATCCCAGAAAGGTCAATGTTAATGGTGGTGCCATTGCTCTTGGGCATCCTTTGGGCGCTACAGGTACTCAAAAGTTGGGAAATTTTTCCGTTAAAATTACTGTCATAGGAACCTTGAGACGTCCATATGCTTGATTGTTGTTTTTTGTTTACTCTTCTGTCCTTGATTGCATATTATTCAACAGATCAACAGGACGGTCTCTGTTCACTTTTCATGTTCAATGTAAGATGCTTTATTGTGAAGTTATATGCTGCCATTTTGTGTCAGGTGCTCGCTGTGTTGCTACACTATTGAATGAGATGAAACGCCGTGGCAAGGATTGTCGCTTTGGTGTAATATCTATGTGCATAGGTATTTTTACTCTAGGAAGATGAAAGATAACACAGAAAATGCATATATGCTCAATCTTGACTAACTGAAATCAAAGTCACGTTTTGTTGAAACTGTATATCATGTGAAACTCAGTAGAATGGTTAGAATTCTCTCTCAATCTTTATAGGTATTCTAATGAAACCTTTTCCAGATAAAGAACCTTGTGATTGGGAGATTCAGCATGAAAAGACTCTAGGGAAAATTTAATGCTCTAAGTTTGATTTCTCTGTGATAAAAGTTCTTAATAAATTCATTATTCGGATGTTCTCCTAATAGTTTATTCTTCTGCAATGAATTGGTGTTTTAATAAGTTGGTGTAACACAGAGACTGGCTTGCTTAGGAACTTGCATGATTTTCTTAGAAAAAGTAGTCTTATTCAAAATGAAAAAGTAAGGAGGCAAAACTGTTGCTCTTTGCTATGACAATAGAAGCAAAAGAACAGAACTGGATGGAGGATGTAAGTAAAACTTAAATGCATATGTGGAAAGAAGAGATTTAGAATACATCAGTGGAAAAGTACAGAGATTACTAATACATTGATGTCAGACTGCGATATCAATTCCTTGTCTTGACTAATAACAACGAATTGTCCATAATCATTGCAGGGTCTGGTATGGGAGCAGCAGCAGTATTTGAAAGAGCGGACTAATAACAGATCTGAGATTTCAGAATCGTTAGGGATTGTTACAAGTACAAAGAATTGTTTGTATACGTGCACACATGTTGAAAATTTTCTACGCTGAACTCAGTCATGCTTGGAAATGTTAAATATGTCAATAATCTCTTTCGTGGAATGGAAATTCATAAAGGTACCCCTACAAGAAGTAGTGCATAAATGATTGCATCACATAGAACAACTATCTTAGTCTCTTAATTTCTTTTGTGATATATTTCTTTTTTCCCCAGTAATGATATCTGGTTTATTATCTGTGAGAAAATTTATGGTCAAGAGTTTGGACTAAATTGAGATGAAAGTTCTGTCTAATTATTCACTAATCTTTTGATTTGAACATAATGAGTATATGATTTTTTCAATTATAACAAATTAAGGGCATGATTATATGAAGAATTATGCTGTTGTCTGCAAAATGGAAAAAGCTGTGATATTATTACAGGAAATTCGTGCACTTGTATTTGCTAATAGAATTGGATTTGTAGTTTCAATTTTGGCGTTGTCGTGAGAAGCTTTCTGCAGTATCAGCATTTGGCGGTAGAAAGTAAATCAAAATCTTTTAGAGCAAGATATTCCAAATTTCTTTACCGAAAACATCAAATAAAACGTTGAAATATGTTCTTTTTTCTTGGGGCCGATCGTTAGAGTATGCCATCATTCCTATCTTATTATTGTCCCCAAGAAAAGTGACCAAGATGGTGGAATTAAATCTCAATATTAATGTAAAAATTTTATTAATGAATGATTTATAAATACTTTTTATAAGCGTTATTTGAGTTTGGAAAGTAAAGGTATGCCTGGTTCTGAGTTTTCAGGATTTTACTCAAACTTTTTTTGAATAAAAAAAAACAAAAGGGAAATCTACGCATGGTAAATTTTCCATTAAATAGTCTTGGAAGTTATTATTTTAAAAGATTAAAATTGCCATCAATTTTTTAAAATTATTATTTTATTTATTTACATTTTTAATATTCTTCAACCTATATTTGACAATATGTGGATGGGCGTTAAAATAGGCAGATGTAAATTTTCTTATATATTTGACCACCATGTAGGACCACTATCTTGACGTTTCTTGTATATATAGCACAAGTGGGATTTTGTATTCTTTATTAGAAAATTTCAGAAGTTACTTATGAATTTCCATATTAATTCATTTTACAAGAAAACTTTTATACACGGATTAATTATTAAAATCCACGTATAATATAAATTATTACAACAGCATTTAATCATACATCTGCATTATATTCTTAAACACCAAAGTCCATGTGGGTTGAAAGAGATAATCTACAAAGATTTATTAGAAATCCACCTATTGAACATTGCAAAACATTCCTCAGGTTTATATTCAGGAGCTGTGTGCCCTGCACCCTGCAATTACAATTTGACATGAATAAAGTGAATCTATGAATGTTGTCAACCTTTATTTTTCATTCATTTTTTAAGTTGTCTTCGAACAAAATAAACAGAGTAACAAGCATATAGCTCATATTTGGTTCAAAGTTCTTACCTTTACAGTCGCAAATGTCATTTGATTGGAGTACCTCCTTGTATATCTGCTCCAAAAGAAACCAAAAAAAAAAAAGGAAAAAAAAATGTTAAAGCAAATAGAAAACATTTTGTTTTGAAGAATAATCATCTGCTTCAATTTTCTCAGTAGTTCCACCCAACATCCTTGTTTTAATTGAATTATAAGAAGATTTTTAATTTGGTTATATAATTGAGTTGGATTCAAACTTTGTATGGTCCAATTAGATGCAGCTTTCTCAAAGACATTTAATTTTTTGCATTTACACAAATTTAAATAAGAGACTTTGTGCTTAATCGGCTATAATTAAAACCAATGCGCGTTGAATATTAAGGAGAATTTTACAGAGTGATTATTTATAGAATCTATTATTCCTCTAAATGTTGCATAGAGACTTGAAGGAGTGTGTATTGAAAAAAAAAAAAGTAAAACCGGGTAAAATAGTGCCCGATTTGGTCAAGAATTAAGGGGAAACTAAGAAGTGGTTGAAATTTAAACTGGTCATGAAATCAGTAAAAACCAGTCATTTAAAAAATAATAGAAAAGGGTGAAAAAATAATTCTGATGAGATATAGAGAATATACATACCCTGCAACTTGGGAATTGACAAACCATGGCCTCCAGTCATCAACAATGGAGGAGTTTAAATCTCTGATCCATGCTTGAGTTGACATAAACGTAACTACTGAGTCATGATCTCCACCGAGCGCCAACAAAGAACCACCTAGTCTCTTACCAAAATCTATATATCAATTATTAAAAGAAATCCATAATCAATGCAAATCGAATTTCTAATTTTGTGGAAATTACAAGTCCATTTTTTTAATTCTTCTTAACTTTTAAAATAATAGTTGATTTTAAAGTCCAGAGAAAATACAACTGTTGGTACCCATAATTTTAACATGATGTAGTATTAAATTTCTATATCTTTTTCCGTTGCTCCAAACCCCTTAAGTTTCATATGTTTGCAATGTTAGTCCTTATATTTTTAAATATAAACACAATGACTTAACAATTATTAAAGTTACATACGGCTAAAACTTAAGGGATTTGGAGCAATGGAAAAAAGTATAGGCACTAATACTAGAACCAACAATTATATTTTCTCTAAAAGCTATTATCACACAGTGATGTATTAGAAAAAAAAATAGAGTAGCATAAATAAAGTGATATAATTGTGCTGTGTGCACATACAAGGCTTGCTTATTATATATGTGTGTGTACAACTATGTAGTTAATTAGTAATTGCAAATTGCCAAAAAAGAACAGAAAAAAGAAAAGCACACCTGTAAATCAAAGAACGATAACCTTGTCTGCTTAAATTTACATGAAATGGAAAGCTGGTGGTGACTTCGTAGCTATAGCCAGATTTATTACAACGTACCCATTTCTTTTTGCTTCCCTAAACATAACCATCAACCAACAATGCATGCATTTTCAAAACATCAGTATTATTGACCTTAATTTATTACATTTTACAATATATAAAAGATTAAGAACAAGGACAAGATAATTAATTAAGGAGAAGGAACTAAACTTTAATTTTAAAAAATGAAAAAAAAAAAACTAGCTGGTCATAAGCAAAACCTTTCGAACATGTAGTGCCTCTCGAACCTTGTCATCGTCAAGCCAAAAGTAGCTGAGGAAATACGGATAGTTCTAAATGACAGAAAGGATGAAAATGTGATTATATCTATCTTAAAAAAAAATTTCAATCTTAATTTGTGAATTATGCAAGGAAAAATGATATTTAATTAAGAACTGTCAGAAAAACATTACTTACAAGTAAGGATTTTGAATTTTTGAATTTTTTTTTTCAAAAAGATCTAAGTCATTTATTGGAATTAAAATTTTTCTGAGTTAATGTTTTTCAATGCTCATCTTCATTTTCAATAATTATTTTCTACATTTTCAATATTCATTTTTAATATTTTCAATATTTAGTTTCTCAATATTTCAGCAGTCATTTTAAATATTTTCAATACTCATCTTTCATGTTTTCAATACTGAAAACACTTATTTTTAATTCTTTTCATTACTAAAATCATGGAGAACGGATATTGAAAACACCTAAAGTGACTGCTAAGAAAAAAAAACATAAATTGAATCCTGAAAGTGCTAAAATGACTATTGAAAATGTGAAAGTCAAGTACTAACAATATACAAGATGAGTCTTGGAAAAATTCAATCAGAAAAATTTTAATTTCAACTAAGAATCATAGTTTTTCTTTAAAATTTCATAATTTTAGGATCTTTAAATGAATTTAATTTTCTTAGATGGTTCTCAAAATGGTTTTTTTTTTTTCATTATGCAATTTATGTGCCAAGAAAAATTACTCTGCAACTTAGAGGTGGAACAGTGAGGCGAGAACCAAGAGTCGTTTGAAATTTCTTGATCAGAGATCTCCTTCCAATCATGAGGCCTAGGCGAATAGCTCTCACATTTGGGATCCAAAATGCCGAAACTATTAACTCCTGAAATGAGCTGAGATTGAGGGAAAATAGTTTACTTACAACATAATTAATTATTATCTACAGAAAGGATCAGTATATTTTATTCCAATAATTTATAATTTATAATCATAATCAGTAAAAATATATTGAATAGTATGCAGTAGAATGTGATCTTTACTAACCTCATGTAAGGTGTCGATGTTCCTTAGACATAACTGACTTTTGTGATCTATATTTATGTAATCTCCTTTACAATTTTTCTGCAACGACTGTCCACATACAATAAATTGTTACATTCATAATCAACTCAAATTTAATAAAATGTATTATGAGTTATCACAATAGTATAATATAATAATTATTATATTACCATATAAAGTTCATCGGGAATCAGTCCCATTCCATGAGCAAATTGGGGGAGAAAATTTTTTTCTTCCCCTGTTGTGAAGGCGTTCCCAAGCACATATCCCTGAAAAATTTGTGACATACGTTAAGCAGTGTGAATGAATTAAAATTTAAAAATAATGTTCTATCACTTTCATTCCAGTTAAAGTACAATGATGCAAACCATGATCTTGTTTAAACTAAGATGTCTTCATTATAACCTCATAGCTAGGTTTACATTGTCCTGAGCAACTACATATCATGCCAAGCATCTTAGATTTTATATCTCAGCTTAGGTCTTGTAGAAGGTATTGCAGGCTGAAAGTGTGGTGTCTTTGGGCACGACTCAAATCAGAATTCTCATCACTGCTACCAACAGAAAGTACAGTGAAAGAGTTGAATTGCAGGACAAGGAGAAGATATATTGGTGGCAGACGTATTGGGAGAAATGGTTAAATGCAGATGATAGAAATAAAAAGTTTTTCCACTTCATGACTGTCCAAAGGAGGCTGAGAGTGGAAAAAGGTATGTAGCTTCCAGGGGAAGTGAATTGCAAGCTCTTTGCTGGAGAGGTGGTGGAGGAAATGAGTGACATGAAGGTTTAGATTTGATTACTGATGGTTTCTGGAACCTGAATTTGATTGCTGGTTTAATTACTAAAGAAGAAGGAAGGGAATTACAGTGTGAACTCAGGTTACAAGCTGATCTGGGAAATTGTTCAAGGTCAACCAAATCTGAAACCTGATTAATCTTTTTAAAATACTGAC